CGAACATAGTGGCACCCACCGGCGGGTGCCATTGTCGTCAAAAGGTTAAAGGTACTCCCCGTGAAATTTGCATTTTTTCCCCAATGAGTCAGTTGTGATCACTAGAAACAACACACAAAGTTTCACGCATGAAGATTCGGTTTCCGAAGAGAAACAAACTTACAAAAACTACACTCTATGGACAATCGAAGGTAATTGGGCGGAGCCAAAGGCGGGGCATGGAAAGAAGTCCGCCTTGGGGCGGCTACGTATCAGGCGACGCAATGAAAGAATCGGTTGAAGCGTTCGATTTTGGAGATAAAGCAATCGATAGAATATGATGCAGTAGAAGTGAGATGTCAGTGCAATAAGTCAAAAGGTCAGAAAGAGTTTCTAGTGACAGCACTCCGTGAACCAAGTGGAAGCGTTCCCGCCGCCAGCATTTGTGACAGGCTGGGATTTTTTATTCTTTTGGTTCTTATCGATAATGGGTCTGAAGCCATATGTGAGAGATAGAATCATGATTGTCCTGAGGGGGGTTCCTTTATCCTCAACAGTGCTCCCCACATCTTCGCCCATGCCCCACCCATCATACACCCCATCGTGATTTTATTCTTCGTGTAAATGCCTCAGAAGGCAAATATTGAGCGATCAAAGGAGCAAATAAGCACCGTGGATATTACCTTGTGTCGGAAACTATTCCACAGGCGTAATAAAAACACTGCGTTTTCTCGCACCAGTCACCTGTATACAAAAACATTTGCCATGACAACAGCATTCTGCAAGAAATGTAGACCTACCTTCAATGAGGTTAGCGGTCGACACAATCACATGCAGTTTTGCCTCGCAATCGAACATGGATAGCTTTGTGTGATGTGTTCCAAAAGGAATAGGAAGCGGAGCTCCCAAGACGGAGACGTTTTCGAATTTCAGAGTAGATACATCCTTAAGGAGAAAGAATTAAAATTAGGTTTATATCAGAATTATGAATGAATTAATGCACGTTAGAGACCATAATCGCAAAAAGACTACAAGGACATCGGCTTCTGAAGGATACATTGTCAACGTGAAACTAGCAGTTATCAATTATTATCATACAAGTCAATGTCGAGTTATATCCAGAATCCAAAGAATGCGCGAACCTACAGAATACTACCTTTCTCCCAGAATAGCACGATATTTCCCCACCATAAACTTTACTTCAGTGACTTCAAGGCACAAATTTCAGGACTCGAATTCTTCAACGAAGCCGTCACTCAAGCGCATCATGGTGCTAATGATACTGACTCTGCTAAAAAAAAGCGTAGTAATTAGGCATAAGGGATAAGGCGTTAGCGAAGGGCCTGAGCTTCAAGTGAGCTTCGTTGCATGTTGTACCAAAGGGTGCATTCATAGCAATTCTTCCGATCGTAATTATCGTAACTATCGCACAGCGTCAGATACGTCAGTGGCGGTCCAAGTTTGGAAACTTTTTTATTTTTGGTGTAGCGCATTCAAAAGCAATGAATGCCTCAAGTATGACACCAATTACAAAATCGAGCAGGATACGAAGGGCATTTCAGTTTCCTGAAATCGACAATCATAATTGAAGAAATAGATTTTTTTCAAGAAATGGCGCGTCAAAAGTTTGGAAACTTTTTGTTTCCCTCATCATTATGATTCCTACTCTTCAATGTTTACTTGTTTCTGTTAATTTTAGTTCAACCATTGAGGTATGTGATTTCAAAATGAATTCATATGCATAAGGAAGCATCGCCTCAGGAGAGGTTTTTATGAACCCCACATCCAGAATACGAAATTGAAATTGTTTCTCAGTCATCAACCTCTACGGAAGCAATATTATCAAGAGTTTCCAGCGTTATCGGAGTCGAGCAAGCATAAAGAGAATGACCCTTCACAAAAAACATCATCGCTAGAAATTGGCTCTTCTTAAGACTTCGAATCGTGGTTGGAACGTTCCGTCCCTCGAAATCCCAACCAAGAAACGACATTTTCGTGTTTTCTTTCAATCAAATGAAAGTCCAAGTGCAGCACAACATCGGCCGGACCTGGCGAAAATTACGGATGATGTCCAACAAGAGCATCATGTTGGGCTCAAGAGCCGTGCATCCAATTTCGACATTACCAGTCGAATACTAAGCTAAAAGTTTGTACTCAGCCCGACTACAAGGATTTTTAGCTTTCAGAGATGATGTAGTTGAGCTGAAGTGTTTCTGTACGAATGTGTTTGAATCACAATTTACAGAGTAACGGATTCCAAAGATCAAAATGTGAAGTAATGTCGTAGTGAAGGTTGTGTCGACCATTCAGCCGATTCCCATTTCTTATATCCAGAATGAAATATGGGCTGATTTAGGTAGCAAGGATGCATGAGAAATGAGATGGTTTCCTTTACTTTCAGACTGATCGAAAGGATGTTTCTATAGCGGAAATATCTTGTTGCGGTTCCCTCTTCCTTCTTTACCAAAATAAAGGTTATGACATGATCGTCAGTCAACTCTAGCTGAGTTTTGCACCTTCAAAAAAGGCTGGCATTTCGTACAAGCCACATTAAAGTAAAGAGTCCCATCAAACAATTTGATTTAGTTGGCATAGTGTAGGCTACGACTTAAAAACCTAAAATGATCTTTCAATCAATTCGATATCAATAAAAACGATTCTAGCATTGAATTTCAGCGCTTCTCAACAGAACACTAATTTATCATGTTGATTCGAGAGCTATTTTGCCGAATTCGCTTTGGAATTGAGAAGTTTCCAAACTTTTGACGCGCCATTTCTTATAAAAATTCGTATTTTTCAAATGCGATTCAGTTTTCAAAAATCATGTTAGCCATCGTAATCTACACTTGATTCTGAATATAATATGTGAATTCTAAACAATTTCATTGTCTATTGGCTGCGCTAGGTCAAAAACTTCCAAACTTTTGACCGCTACTTTATATCGTCCAATCCGCGGACATGTCTGATGATCGGTACGCCTCAATGTTGTGCGATCGTTACGATCAGTACGATAGTACGACGAACTATGCATGCGCCCAGAGAGGAGGGTCTATGCCCATAAAAAATCGAAAGAGAGGTAGGAAGGGAACGAGTTGAGAAAGGCGGGTCGGTGCAAATTAAGGCAAGTACCACTAACCGAAGTGGAGGTGAGAGGTAATAGTGCTTGATAGAGGAAGAGGATTTCCCTATAATAAGCATAGTGCGCTGTTCGTAACCAAGACGTTACATAGAAAATCGTAAGGAGGCATGACTGAGAACGTGGAAACAGATATTAACGTAGGAACTAAATATGATATCAAGCTAGTTGTCAGAATCAGATGATGTCCTGAAACGTTAGCAGAAAAAAACTTCCGCTTATCATCGTTGAAATGCTTACTTTCGATAGAGATCTTTTATCGCTACCCATTTTCTCACCAACAACGCACTGAATTGGAGAATCTCTGCATGGCATTGGGTATTGCCTGAAAAGGGAATTAAACTCCTCATTGGAACGATGGTTTTTTCAGCACTTACATACCTTATCAACCATTCAATATCAATCGCAAAATTAAAGTGAATAGAGAGCTGTGGGCGAATTATTTGAAGAATATCACTGATATGATAAGCGTCAACATTGAACTCTTCTGACAGCTCTGCAACCTGAACGACCTACGTGTCAGATTCCGCAATATAGAACTACCACCACTTGATAGTTACCTTAGTGAGATACATTCTACCACTGACAAGTCCAGAGGGCGGCGGATTGCCACGTTTGGTTTGAGCTGCATCGTGTTTCTTATTCATCTAAAATTCGATGGATATGATCATAGAGAAGAAGACAAAGACAGGAAGTGTACGTGGAGAAGGCCGTGACGCACTCGATGAGAACTCAAATGATTCAACTTCATTCCATAATAACATCCTCAACAATTCAACATAGATTACATATAAGGACAATACACTCTATCCCGTCATGTCCCGCTTTCGTCCTCGTAATCGAATCTCATTCAACTTCCTGGAACAGACAAATATTAAATAAATAGCAAGAACAAAAATAAGGACAACTTACTTGAGAACAGCAATTCCTTGTTTTTGATTTACGCTTTTGTAGCCTTCCAAAACACTCTTGAACATCTCCTCCGAATCAACGTGAGTGCTGATCATAGCTCTCTCCAATACATATAAGTCGACACCTTTATCCTCAGGTGAAACCTGAAGAAGAATAGCAAAATAAAACAAGTAGCCAAGCCAGATGATAGAGATCAGAATACTAGAGCTCGAATATTGAGCTAAAGATGGGCAGCCACCATAGAAGGCAATTGACCTGCACGCCAAAATAGGGACATAGTCTTGGTAGTTTGTAAAAAAAGGCTCGGATTGGAAAATTGGGAAACCATAACGTAGTGGATGTTTTGAACATCATAGTTGCAAAGGTGATCAAAAACTTAGTTTACGGCAGTGAGGAGCAACGCCTTGCCACTTCCACACGGATAAAA